ACTTTAGGCCTGTTCTTTTTGAACAAGTTGAACTTGCATAACATATCTTTCCTTCTTTTCTCTTTACATTAGAGAAAAAGAGAAAAAATAAAGTTCAGCTAAAAAGGACAGACTTCTTTTGTAAATAATTCTATATATATATGCAGTATTACCTTGTATATATTATATATGTTCTGTACAGAACAGTTTGGTGACAGTACTGAATTTTTTATTTTGCAGAAACGCCAAAGAATACTCCAGTGAAGCATAGTTTCCAAAATGTTGACCTGATGTCGCCGTCTCCGAATCGTATGGAGGTCTCGAGACGATCTTCAGTGAGTAGTATCACCAGTGACGCGTCCTCTTTGTTTCCAATGTACGAGAGTCCTCCGAATCTTTATCATTTACAGGTTTGTCACTTATAAATGCCTATTGGCAGATAGCTTCTCTCTGACAATTCTGATAGTTTTGCTTTTGCAGTCGGATATAGATCAGTCGGCTAGCGAAATGGACGATAATATCAGTCCTCATCTTGATAGAGTTACGAAGGATCAGTTATATTCCGCTTACAAAAAGGTGCAAACCAAATATCACAAGTATCGCGGTAGATATACGGATCTGGCTACACACTATCGCGAATTGGACAGAGTGAAATCCAGGCTGGAATCTGTATTGGTTGAAACACAAGACAAGGTTCTAAGAAGAATAACCGACCTAAAGGAGCAATGTCAATTAGAACAACAAGCGAAAGCACACTTAGAGGATGTACTGAGGAATGATATAGAAGAAAAAGATCACATCATAAATACATTGAATACAAAGATAAAATTGTTACAATCAAGCGGACCAATTTTAGACAATTCAGTGTTGGAAGAGGCTCAACCAAAGGAGAGTTCTAAAGAAAACCTAATCGATTTGGCAAATGAAACTAATGACGAGACTAATGCGCTATCGATAGAAAATACTCAGTTAAAGGATAAGCTAAAAAAGCTGGAAAGTCTCGTTTTGAAGTACAAGGAATCCTTAAAACGTAATAAGGAGAAATTTTTGGATGTGATGAAGGAGAAGAATATTTTGGAGAACGATCATGAGACGCTAAAGAATTCCACTGCCGAGAAAATCAACGTTACGGAAAGTGAACTGAGTGCGGCGCGTATCCAGATTGAAAAACTGACTGAGCAAATAGATACTTTGCACAAACGTGAGGAAGAATCAGCGATTTCGTTAGCTGAAAATAAACTTTCCGTACACAGAGAACTCGAGGAGAAAGAGGAACAAATTAAACAGCTGCGAATCGACCTGAAATATGTGACGGAAGATAAAGAAAATTTAAACGAGGCAGTAGCGAGATATAAGGCCGATTTGAGTGAACTAAAATCCTTGCACACTGATTCGGATAAAAATGCAATAGAGAAAATTGAAGCAATAAAATCTATGCAACAAGTGGGAATAAAACATCACAAGGAAGTCGATCATAGTGAAAAGATTAAAACAGAAGACGAGAATAAACTAGACGAAATAACGGTTCGTTTAAAAGAAAAAGAAATCGAGTTACAAGAACTACAAGATAAATTGGACGAAATGGAAAAACAAAATATAGAATATAAATACGATAGAACATCTATACAAAGTGAACTGGTTGCTTGGAAGACCACATATTCGGATCTGAGGGAAGAATATCAAGCACACAAGATTATCGCAGAAGAAAGACAAAAAGACGCTGACTCGACGATTGAGAAACTGCAAACGACAGTACAAAGCGTTGACAAAGAATTGGAGAACATGAGAATCGCGTTGATCGATAGGGATCAGGTGTGCGAAAATTATAATAAAAAGGTGCAACAATACACGGGCATGCTCGAAGAAGCTAAGAATAAATTGACCGAACAGAAAGCAGAAATCATATCGCTGAATGATAAATTAGAAAAGTTTTCAGAGCTACAAGAAGAATTGGAGAATAAAACAATCGAATTAAGCGCGATACAAAATGAGTTCGAGCTTTGCAAATCTACGATCGATGACTTTAAAAACAAAGTTCAAGCAGATAGTTCAGTTATAAATTTACTGAAAAAAGAGAGAAGCGATTTTATAAATCGTCTTATTTATTATAACGATTGTATACATCGTTTAAAGCAGGATTGTATGGTTGTAAAAAATGTCGTTGCAGAGGAGTTCTTAAATCAAAAGGCCAAAATATTGGACGTGAGCGTGATTCTTGCCACATCTTTTACAAAATTCGAAGAAGAGAATATAACACTGAGATCCGAAATAGATGAATTGCGTTCGAAGATAAAAGATCAAGAACAGCTTATACTCAAAGAGACAGACTTGCAATCAGAATTTGTGCAAGTTGCGAATCACAAATTCGTACTAGAAGCGGAATTGAGGAAAAGTAACGAACGACTGAAAGAGATGATGCTGAAGAGTAACCAATACGATGAACTTAATACGACGAATAACAAATTAATAGCAGAGATCGATAATCTCAATTTTAAAATTCACGATCTGAAAGTGGCATCACACAAATTAACGCAATCACAACAAGAAATTAAGGTTCTACGAGAACGACTGAGGACATTAGAGAACCTTGAATCTGTAAATCATGCGTTATCTGTTGAGATTGACGATTTAAGGGAAAAACATGCGCAGGCTAGTCATGCTTTTAAAAAGATAGATGAATTGAACGTGAAGTTACGTGAGGCGACTGAAGTCATTAATTTGTTCAAATCGGAAAACAGCAATCAAGATACGTTGCGAAAAGAGCTGTACGCCTCGAGATTAGAAATCGCTCGCTTGAAGGAGGATCTGGCTGAAAAAGAGGGTGAGATAAAAATTCGCGATGAGAAACTAGCAAGCGAAGAAGAGCATGTCGCCCATTTAAAATCCACATGCGACAGTCATATACAGACAATCGAGGAACATGTGAGGAAGTATTTAAACTTGGAAGCTGAGTACCAAGCGACGAGGGAAAATCACGCGAAAGAAACTACTGAATTAATGGAGAATAACAAGGCATTACAGGAAACAATAAACGTGAAACTCGTACAATTGAAAAAGATGAAAACTGTTAAAGAACGACAAAGTAAAACAATTGAGGAGATAAAAGCTGAGCTTGATCAATCAAAGACTCGGCAGGCAGAAATGTCCAAAATGTTGGAAACTTTCGAGAAACAGATAGAGTCGCTGAAATTAGAAAATTCTCAACTTGTGACGATTACCTTGGAAAACAAAGATCTGAAAGATCAGCAAAACGATCTTCTGAGCCGTAATCAGAAGCTTTGCGAAAATGATAAGGCTCTGAAGCAGAAAATCTCAGATTATGAGAAGGAGATTGAAGAATTGCGGAAAACAGTGAAGAATTACATGGAATCCTATAAATCTCAGCTCAACAATCAAAGTGAGAAGGCAGAACGTTTAAGCAATGAATTAAGTAATGTTAGTGCGCAATTAGAACGTAAAGATGCGGAATTGAATTCATTAAATGAGAGATTAGTGATGAGTGAAAAAGAATCACAAGAAATTAAAGGAAAACTTGATGAGAGGGATGTCGAGTTGAAGGATAAAATTTCCGAATTAGGTACAGCTATGACAAACGGTAACGTCATGAAGGAAGAGAATTTGCGGCTTTGTGCAGAATTGAGGACGCTAAGAGATGAAGTTAAAAAAATTAAAGACGTGGAAGAAAAGAATAAAAAGCTGAAATTAGAACTTAATGATTTAATCCAAAGGAATTCTGGCGCAGAGGCAATACGTTCGGAGAACAACATATTGATTGCCGAGCAAAAAATTCTTAAGGACAGAATTGCCGAGTTAGAAAGAGTAAAATCTAGCAGCATGCAGTTGCAAACTCATGTAAATAATTTACAGTCTAAGATATCTAGTTTAGAGGTCCTACGTATGGAAAATAGTAGACTGCAGTCGGAGATTGAAGCTTTGCAGTCCGCGAAAAATTCGTCGCCGGAAGTGGGCGCCTTGAAAGATACATTGATGGCGAAAGACGCCGAGATAAAATTATTGGAAGATAAAATATCCAACATGTCACAAGAGATTGGAAATTTAAAACGATTTTCGCTCGAAATCGATGAAAGGAGGAAGGGTACAGACTCACTGAGAAATTCGCTCGCGTCAGCGGAAGAAAAGATCACCGGTTTACAGTCAGAAATTAATTCTCTCATTCGGACAAACGATGCGTTAAAGAAAGAATTGGAAATTATCCGTAAGGACAAAGACGCGAAGGGCCAACTCATCAGTGACACGTTGCGCGAAGAGAATAAGAGATTAGAGGCCCAGCTCGATGAAGCGTTGATTACATTCCAAGCGAAAGAGACGCAGATGCAACTTGCAAATAATGAACTAAGATCGCAAACCAATCAACTGAGGGAACAGTTGAAGACCAGCGAGGAGGAACAAGGCATGAGGTTGAAGCAACTGGTGAAAGAGTTTCAAGCTCAGTTGCATGACAAAGAAGAAGAACTTCAAGCCGCGTTAGAGAAACGTTTCGGTAAGATGCTATTTTATTTTTCAAAAAATTTTGTGTGTGTTAGTGTGTGTGTGTGTGTGTGTGTGTGTGTGTGTGTGTGTGTGTGTGTGTGTGTGTGTGTGTGTGTG